TTATTCATTTCGTTATTGAACTTCCTACAATCAATTGTAAAGGGGTCAACTTTGATTTTAGGTATCAGGCATGTGTCTGTGACTTTTATATCTGAAGTTATAAGGTAATTATTCCAAAGAGGGAAGAAATGCCCCCCCATGCAAGGGGCCCCTGGTTCACTCCATAGGGTTAAGGAACTGCAGACGCAGCTGCTAAAGCTGCAGGTGGGCGAAGCGAGAAAAAAGGTTATTGAGTCCAAAAAGAAAGATCGGGGGAAGCAGATGGTGGCAGGGGTGTCCCCAGAGGGACCCCCCCCTCAACCACCTGGCCCATGGAATGGGCCCCCCACCTACCAACAGAGAGGGTGGGGCCAACAGTGGTGAAGGGGTCGGGGTGGTTGGGGTCGGGGATACAGAGGCCGGGGCTGGGGAAGGGGCGGCCCGCAAAGGGGACTGCCGTCAGGTGTCTGTTTCAGGTGCGGGGCAGAAGACCACTGGGCAAGGGATTGTCCAGCGCCCGCTCCGAGCAGTGTATGCGGCGGGGGAGGCCCTCCTAGAGTCCAGGTACTGACACCCAACACACAGGTGATGGCACCCAACCCACAAGCAGTTCCCACGGCAGGACAGTACCCGGCGATGGACGGGGGGGAGTGGGACTGGTACCCCTCCCCACAGTGACGGTGCCCACGAGCGGCCCGGGAGGCAGACCCCATGCTCTTCCTCAGGGTCATGGATAAAGAACTGGCGTTCCTGGTAGATACGGGAGCCACATATTCCACTCTTAACGTGGTCCCTGAACAACATAATTTGTCTACCTCCACAGTGACCGTTGTGGGCTTTTCCGGGAAAGAACAGAGACTGCCAGTGACTAAACCGGTGAAAGTTGTGGTGGGGAAACAGACCTTCCTCCACCCTTTTCTTGTGTCTTCTTCAGTTCCAGTGAATCTTCTAGGAAGGGACATGCTGGTGAAGCTGGGGGCCTCTATTTTGTGCAGTGCAGATGGACTGGTGGTTACCCGGCCGGGAGGCACTCGCCTGCGCTGTGACGCCCGGACCACGGGGGCGGGACAATGGCTGGTACAGCCCATCCAGAGTCAGGCCCTGGCGGACATCTATTGGGGCCTGCTGGAGCCCAGCCTGAATGGCATCCTGGCGGCCTATTACACGTGGCAGCCCTGGATCTTGCTCCTAGAGCCCTATGTACCCCCACCTGACCCTCCCCATGTGACCCTTTTCTATGATAGGGAAAATACTGAGTGGTATGAGGAACTGCTTACTGAGCAACTGGAAGGCCGCCAGTGGCAAGTTGCCTCTGAGAACATCTATGTGGGACCCGAAGGGGTAGCCTCAGCCACCATGCTAACCCCAGAACAGTTGCCCTGGTTCATGATGGGACAGGAGGCTGTCCCACACATTTCTCTGGCCCTCCATCCTAAGCAGCAGGCCAAAGATTTGGGCCCGATGGTTAAACGGGCCGGAGAGACTAAGGACTGGGTACAGACCCAGATCCCACAGATCTCCTTTTCACCCTCCTGCAGTACTTATTGCATACAGGTCGCAGCACAGGACACAGCCCGCTTGCAACATGAGCAGATAGCTAGAGATCATGGGCGGGAAAAGATGGACCACCCGAAGGCAGCAGCCCTCTTGGCATCTTTACCAGACGCACTGTGGTCCACCAGCCCCACAGACGTAGGCCTAATATCTTGTGCACCAGTGCAGTTTCAACTTCAGCCAGGGGAAGGCCCCCTCTGGCTCAGACAGTATCCCCATAAGCAGGCAGCAGAGGACGGGATAGCCGAGACAATAGACGGCCTTTTACAGGCTGGGGTGTTGGAGCCGTCCATTTCTCCCGGTGGAGAAAGCCGGGACAGGGAAGTATCGAATGGCCCATGACCTGCGTGCCATAAACAACCTCCTACTGACCCCCACGGTTCCAGTCCCAAACCCATATGTTGCCCTGACTAATTTGACCC